ATACAATATATAATATTAGTTCTTTTTTAATTAAAATATATAATTTGCACATGCGTGTAATAATAAGTACCTATATTAATCATTACAGTTTATCTCAGATGGACCAGGTTATATTAAGATACGTACGACTTGGAGAGATAGAGATATGTCATACAATACTTTAAACTTAGAAAAGAAAGCATTAAAGTAAATAAATCGTACTAAAGCGCTTTTTATATGATTTAGAAAAAAAGAGAAATTGTGTTTTTTGTCTGTTTAGAGAACTGAAGTCTTTAATTGATAATCAATCGTATCTAAATCAAGAAAAATTTCGTACTTGGATGGAAAGCATTTTAAATAAAGTGGCTTACGAAACCAGTAAAAGTAGTCGAATTGTATTGAGTGATTATATCCCAGTAAGTAAAATATTAACATACATACAGTATATTCTAGCTAATATCGTAGGGCATCAAAAACTAAACATAAATTACATTTTCCCTTTTTGTTTCTAGATAACGATAAAAAAAGCCGGACCAGCGTTTACGCTTTCGTTTCAACTTTCTGGAAAGTCGGTTGATATTGATGTGGTTCCTGCATTACCTTTTTCGAGCTGTAATCCACCACCAAAATGTTCAAAATTGTCTATTTTAGAAAATGTAACATAAAATATTACATTAGTGCAAAAGATTTGTCGTGTGTATCAAATAAGGATAATAATAAAAAATTATAGTTTTGAAAAATACAAATTTATTATTCAAAGAAATAGAGAACCATTGTGACTTTGATACATTTTTTTCACCTAGTAAGACATTTTACAAATTTTTTTTCTAAAAATTGCCTACTTTATTTTAAATAAAATTTAACATAGAAAAATGACAAATAATTTGCACTATTTCATTAATTATATTATTTTTAAACCACGCGTATAATTTGCCAAATTGCTCGTTTTGCAGTCGACTAGATATTGGTCCGTAGTCCCTAAACCTTTGAATAACAGTAAAGCCAGTTTTAGTGATGCACGACATCGTTATTGGCGATTATGTTTTTACGAGTTTGAAAAAGATATACTTGATAATTATGAATATGGACGCATCAAGCCTATAATACGTCATTTGAAGGTATATACATCATAAAGTAACATCCATTTATTTTTAATATATAGAGAGCAAAATAACTTTTTTCTTATTATTATGTAATTATTATATATGGATTATTATTATTATTATTATAGATATAATATATA